AAGCAGTTAGAGAGAAAAAAAATCACATACAAAGGAAAGCCATAAGAATCACAACAGAATTCTCAACACAAACCCTCAAGTCAAGGAGAGCCTGGAGTGAGATGTTTCAAGCCCTAAAAGAAAACAATCTCCAACTTATACTGATGTATCCTGTAAAACTATGTTTCAAAACTGATGGGGAAATAAGATACTTCCCTGACAAAGAACACTGAGAAACTTCATGAATACCAAACCAGTACTCCATATTCTAAACAATATCCTAGAAAAAGGCAATGACAGTCACTACTCCATGAGGCCCAACAGAGCAAATTCAACAGACAAGGCAAGAACTTAAAGGGAAAGGGGGAAAAATAAAAAATAGAGCCAACAATAGGAAAATAACATGACAAGGTTAAGTCAATACATAACAGTTATAACCATCAATGTTAATGACCTCAAAATCCACCAATCAAAAGAAACAGACTGGATGAATGAGTCAAGAAGCAAGATCCAACAATATGCTGCATACAAGAAACATACTTAATTCAGAAAACTTATAGACTGAAAGTTAAAGGGTGGAAAACAACATTCCATGCAACAGGTACCCAAAAAAAAGTAGGAGTAGCTATCATTTTTCCAGATCTAATAGATTTCAAACCAACACTGATTAAGAGAGACAAAGAAGGACACTACATCCTTGTAAAGGGAACAATCCTATAGGAAAAGATGACCATCATAAATATATATGCACCAAATATTAATGCCCCCAACTATACAAAACAAGTATTAATGGATGTGAAAAACCAGTAAGCACTAATACAATCATAGTGGGGGACCTCAATATCCCACTGTCACAAATAGACAGATCATCTAGATAAAAAATCAACATCGAAATACTAGAATTGAACCAAGCTATTGAACAAATGGACTTAATAGATTTCTAGAGTGTTTTCACCCCACAAAATCAGAATATACATTCTTTTGAGCTTCACACGAGTCATTTTCCAAAATAGATCACATGCTAGCTCATAGAACATGTTTAAGTAAATGCAAAGGAATTAAAGTTATCCCCTGTATATTATCAGACCATAGTGCAATCAAACTGAAGATCAATAACATAAGAAATTGTAAGAACTCCACAAACCTATGGAAATTGAGTAACACTCTTCTGAACAACCAGTGGGTCACAGAGGAAATTAAAGAAGAAATTAGACAGTTTCTACAATTAAATGATAACACCAATATTTTATTTTCAAGACCCAGAACAGGATAGATATTCAATAAGAATCTGTCCAATGAAGACTTGACTCCTGCAACATTGGTGTCAGCTCCTTCAACTATGTGTATTATTAAACTAGGCTGTCATAAATTGAGTGGCTCAAACAACATAAATTTATTTTCTCACAGTTCTGGAGGCTAGAAGTCTAAGATCTAGGTGTTAACAGGGTTGCTTTCCTTTGAGGGCTTTCTTCCTAACTTACAGACAGCTACCTTCTCTCAAAGCCTTTCCTCTGTATGTACCCTGGAGAAGGAGTGGGAGAAGGACAGGCAAAAATGGAGGGGAGGCAGAAAAGAGAGGGGAAGGAGGGAGAGAAAGTGAAAGAAACAGGGAAAGGAAAAAAGGAGGCATAGAAGGGGAGGAAGAAAAAGGCAACACATATGTGTGCTCTCCTTGGTTCCTCTTCTTATTCTTTTTTTTTTTTTTTTTTTTTTTTTTTTTTAATGGTAGCAAAGTTTTGTTAAATGTAGGAAAACAAACAGGTTCTGCAGAGTAAGTTTGGCCCAAGTAAAAGTAGGAAAAGAAGTATAGCCTTACACTGTAGTGTCAGGTCTAGGCCATTCTATCAAAAACCTGCTAGAGTTCTCACAAGAATTCCATGTGCGGGACCTCAAGCTCTTCAGCACATATGTCCTGAGATTTTGTAATTAACAGGTCATTAACTTTTTCTTCTTATGAGGACACCAGTCCTATCAGATTAGGGCTCCACCCTTATTCCCTCACTTAACCTTAATTATGTCTTTAAAGGCTATATCTCCAAATAATCACACTGGAAGTTAAGACTTCACTATGTGAATTTGGGGAAGGACACAGTTCAGTCCATGACACTATGATCTTGAGCTCTTCAATGTCTGAAAGGCTGGATTCCCTCATCCTAGCTGCTTGGGGACAAGCGAGAGTTTGAGCATTAAATGACAAGAAGTGAGGTAATATGAGTGGTGCGTCCCACGTATTACCTGACACAGTAAAGGTCTTTGTTGTGTTCTTTCAGAAGCAGTCAGGTATTGGAGGATAAGTCCACTATTTGTGAGGTAAAAGTAAGAACAGGAGACAGCAGAGAAGTGAGTTGGAAAAGAGAAAGCAGACAATAAAATAAAGGGTCATTTTCTAACTAATCACTACTGTAGCAAGTTGAGCTTCATCTCAAGAAACTCAGGCATTGGTGGGGAACCATCACCTCCAGGGCAAAATAGCTGGGGTATTTATGCACCAAGCTCACCAATCATTGGTTGAGATCTCCCCTGAGGGGAGTTGGTTCTCCTTACTTGCAGGTTGCTGTGCATGGTTATCAGGGAAAACCTTCAGATGAAGAGATGGTGGCTGTGGCTTTTGGAAGCTGGACCAGCTCTGTAAAAGGAAGGCTTACAGGGCTCTGGGCCGATTGCTGTTCACTACAGTGAGCTCACAGAGCACCTTAGCTATTCTCTGTAATGATGGACACACTATGTTTACTAATAGTTTTCAAAACACTAGAGATGTTGCTTGGGGCAACATCTCAGCGTTCTGGGGCCCAATGTGTATAAGGAATGAACACTGCATGCTTGTCCTGGGGGATTCACTGGGCTGGGGATGTAGCTCAGTGGCGCAGTGCCTGCCTGGCAAACACAAGGTACTGAGTTTGATCCCTGTTTCCAAAAAACAAAATTTATCTGAGGGGTTCACAACCAAAGCTCTGTGATATCCTGCAGTTGAGATGTGAAGCTTGTTTTAATCCTGTGACTTAAAAAAATATTGATACGAAGACTTTTTAACTTAATATATATCTTTAAGAAATGCAAGCACTGTATTACATGCTTTGGGGATTATCCATCCATTCAGATGAATGGAGATGTGTCTGTAAAATAAAGTGGAAGAGTTTTCAGTCTGTTTCTGTTCAGTGCTTTATCTGCAGAATGAGTGCCTAGGATAGAGAAAGTGTTCAATAAGTCTTTATTATTACAACAGTTTTCAAGAAATTAAAAAAAAAAAAAAGAACCTGAACTCAATAGAAAGAAAAAAAAAGCCACACACAAAAAAAAGAACCTGAAGATATTTTCACTAACAGTCATATGAGAAATGACCATCTCCAAAATGACTATTTGGAAGACTTTGGGGAAAAGTTCATCTGAATATACACTTCTTAAATGTTTTTATTCTTCACTCATTTAAATGAAATTCTCAGAAAAAGTGGGAACCTGTGCTTTAAAAGCTATTGTGTCCTTTGCAGGATAAACAGTGCTTCTTCCGGCCCCAGGCCCATGTGTGGGTGCAGATCAGGGTCATAGTGGTCCTGATGTCCCTGTGGCCCAGCCTTGTTAAAAAGGGTGTACCAATTTCTATTTCCTCCCTCTATACTCACCCGTTTGTTGAATGCTAAAGTTTGCAGCTGTGACCTGACTATAGGGTGGAATGAATTAAATTAGAAGACTTCTGACAAGTGCAGGCCCTTTTGCCTTAATGTCAGGCAGAACTTGCTATTTGTTGGTCTCAAATGTCAGCTGAGGCCAGGGTGAGTCCTTGTCACTCCAACTTCCTCATTCACCGATAAGACCTAAGGTCATTTTCAGCCTGGTACAGTTGTTTCAGAAGCAACAAAGCATACATGACAAGTAGGGTTTGCAACAAAATAGGCTTTTCTCTAGAGCTCGTCATCCAGCTGAGCATCCCTGCTATTTTTGCCCAATAATCCTAAAAATGGCAACATAAATGACAACTCATTGCTTGTCTATCATTATTACAATGAAAAGTTTGAAACTTTAATTCTTACTCATTCTTTGGAGCTGAGATGGGTGGAGAGTATAAAAAAGTTTGTTTTGTTGCCTATTAGACACTTGTTTAACCAAAAACCCATTTCCTGAAACTATTTCTTGGGATTTATCTGTGTACTGGACTGTATTTTACAGTTTTTTTAAGTTCATTTGTATATTTTAAGATTGTAGTTGGAGCCAAGCATGGTGGAACATGCCTGTAATCCCAGCACTTGGGAGGCTGAGGCAGGAGGATCACTGTGAGTTCGAGACCAGCCTGGGCTACATAGTGAGTTCCAGGTCAGTCTCAACTATATAGTGAGACCCTTTCTCAAAAAAAAAAAAAAAAACCAAAGGAAAAAAAAACCCAACACAACAAAAGCAAAGGGGATGAAAGAAGGAAACCAAGAGATGGGCAGGTACTGCTAAAAAAACAGTTTCCACTGTGAAAATGATTTTAGTTGTCATTGCATGTATCCATTGACAATGGATCATGAAGAGGACCCCAATTGCTCCTATTGGCTTATCTGAACATCAGCTTCCTGATGACTTACTTTATAGCCTCCTAGTGAATATATTAAAAATAGAACTCTAGAACTTGGAGACATAGAAGCTGCATATTTAGACACTGGACTCCTTTCCCATCACCCCCTTGGCAAAAAGCTTTGGTGATAATCTGAGATCTTTCCAAGCTTCATTTACATCATCTTAATGTGCATGTTCAACATCATCCATCTAATTTTGATATAAATTCCTCAGCCACAGTTAAGCCACCTCCTAAATGAATTGACTGAATTATTATTATCATCTTTTTGTGGCATATACCATAGGAGGAAGGAAAGGAGGGAATAACCTGTATTAAGTGAGGCCTATGGATGAACCTTGGAATACAAACAGACATAGATGTCATAGTTTCAAGCAGAGCTGTGAATATAGAATTGTATAGAGAAAAAAGTTTATAAAAAAACCTGTAGCTGTATGACTACCATCTCTTCCTCTTGTTGCCTTTTGTGCAGATTGTCTCCCAGAGAAAGCTGTCCAAGTCTTTGCTGAAGCATGGGAACACAGCAGGGAAATCCTCCATCACGGTGAGCCTTCTTAGACCCCCTTTCTGCAGCCTCTGCCTAGCCGTAGTATCCAGTGGATCGGTCGGTCCACACTGCACACCTAGAAGCAAACTCTGCCTACTGGGTGCTACAACTGCTAAGCTGTCCCAGTCACCTCTTTGTATTTTCCTTCTTTCTCTTTCCTGACAATATAATCTCAATCCTTCTACCCCGAAAAAAAAAATGGGAAAGGCAAAGTATTTGAAAGCCAGGTTACTCATTTCTACTAAGGACTTCTGTGATTGCAATGCACTTTAGTAGAGGAGAATGCGGTGGTGTTGAACATACGAAGGATGTGAAACTGCCTGGGGTCTTCATATTATCAAAGCTACCTGTCTCTTTAATAATGTTTAGTTCAAGGTTTATTTTGTTGCCTCAGAAGCAGAGAGTCCAGCACTTAACACTCCTCTTAGTTATAACAATTTCAAACTATGCTGCCTGATTCAGTAGCCACTAGACATGTGATTATTTAAGGAATTAAAGTACTGAAAATTAAATAAAGCAAAGAGTTCTTTAGTCACACTAGCCACATGAGTGCTGCTATATTGGACAGTGTAGGGTGTAGAGCATTTTTAGTATCACAGGTTGTTCTATTAAGAAATGCTGAAGTATTTCTAAACAGGAGCCTAAAGTTGCATGCTGGTATTTGAAACTTTGCCATCTCATATGAGAGCTTTTCAGAAAGGTAGAGAAAACAGTGTATCTATTTAGGTGTATTTGGGGGACACACACACACACACACACACACACACACACAGAGAGAGAGAGAGAGAGAGAGAGAGAGAAATTTCAGTTCCTAGGAAGGTATATTGCCAGGAAGCAACAGTCCTTGCTATTATCCCTCCTTTTTAACATGAGTGACTGAGTTATTCTTTTTAAACAAAGTGATTTTTTTTTAAATTCAACAGGGCTCCCAGTAGTGAAAGTTGTGGCCATTCTCACAAGAACTTACCTCAGTTTGTCACTTGAATATTTTACTTTCTGTATTTGTGATGCTGGGGGTTAGTTACCTCAGGGCTTCACATGCTAAGCACACACAGTACCACTGAGATACACCCCCAGCCCCTTCTGCTTGAATATTTTAAAGGGCACTGCAATGTTGAAGCTTTCTTCTGAGTGCCATGTTCAATAATGAATCAAGGAGTCTTTGAAGACCCTAATGGCGCTCTAAAAAGCCATGGATCCAAAGACTCAACCCCAAAGCCTACAACCCCTATATGAAATTTGCCATAGGTTTTTCCCTAGGAGGAAAAAAAAAACTGATATGGTTGCCTGTTTATTAAGAAGACATTTTAGGAATTTTCTTCTTATATATACATTATAAAATTTTAATCTTCTTTTTACTATCAAACATTTAAATACTCTTCTTAATCTTACATCTTTGTGTCAAAACATTGGCCTTACTAGCTTCAGCAAAATACCTGCAAATGTGTGAGATTTTTGAGTCCTGTTCAGCTAAAAAAGATCAAAACTCTTATCTTCCCAGAGATGTCTGTGACTACAAAATAGCTAAGAGCCACCACTCAAATGCAATGTAAAAGGCACTAAGATACTAAGAGACAAAAGAGAACTGAATAAAAAATTATAAGTAGGATTCCTGAATTATCAAAAAGTTCTTGAGTTTTTCCCACATACTTGGACTCAAGTTTTGAATTCTAAGTTGCTCATATGTTGAGTTTATCCCTCTTTAGACTACCTTATTATATTTAATATAAGGGTAAATAATTTAAAACTTTTCAGAGGCTACCAATGAGTATTTAGATCAATTCATAATGGAAAAGTCGAGCTTAGATAAAATGGAGCTCCAATTTAATTAAATTTTAGTATCTCAAAGTGACAGATTTAATAAATATTCACGTGCTATGGTCCCTGAATACACAGTAAACTCCTAACCATATTTACACATGATTTCACCTATATGCAATCAGATTTTTGCTGATTTTATGGTTATTGTTTTTTTCCTTTTTCCACAAACTTCTGCTCCAAGGCTTTGAGATTCCCTGGCTATTAAATATTGGAAAGTGACATAAAAGAGCCTCTTAGGCTGTATTATTTTTTTTACTTACTCTAGATTTTTATCAGGATTTCTCAGGGTTTAAGTCCTGAGTTCTCTCCTCTTCTCCCCCCTATTTCCCCAACTCACCCATCTTCTTCTCCCACCTCCTCTTCCTCTCCCTCTCTCTCCTTCTCACACTCACTCTCTCAGAAAGTTCAAGAACAGTGTTTTACAAAACATGAATTAGAATATTTGACAGCCATACAACCATAGTTCTAGCATAGATAGAAATCAGTTTATTCCCGCATCCCTGTTGGTCTTCGTCAAAGAGTAGAAACTGTCATTGTCCTTACCGCTTTGTAATTTCCCAAGTAGGAGCAAGAGATACATATACGGTTATTTGTGGAAGTACCATCCAATACTATTTGACCTTTAAAGAACAAAGCTCTTCCTAACTGCTGATCCCAATATGTTTTCCTCCACTTCGGGTTCTCTCTCTCATAGTCTCATATTAGCATAAAAAGTCCAGTTATCTAGTGCTGTCTCTTCTAGGGAATTCCCTTCAATACCTGGAAATGATGTACCATGGTCACTAGATCTGTGGAAAAACTCCTTGACCAACGACTGTTCTTGATTTTTGCTGGCTCGTGGGTTTCTGGTCCATTCCCACTGTAGCTGATGTGTGTTTTGTACTTTAGGTAATTGCTGAAGAATTATCTGGCAATGATGACTACGTAGAACTTGCATTCAATGCGCGGAAATTGGATGACAAGGTAAAATGTTTGGCATTAACCTTATTGAAGGAAGTAATAAAGCTAGCACACACAGTTTAATCAGATTTATCCCTGCAGCTGGTTTTTTTTTTTCTTTCAACCCACATTATTAAACAGATCAAAGTTTACAGAGAGGTCTGCAAAGTAAAGCTTTGCCCAAGTTGAGAAACAGTTAATGAGAAGGAGATTTGACTGTAATTAAAACAGGACATTTTTATTAATTAAGACTTCATTTGTTTCCACATGCATGGGTCAGGTGCATGAGAAAATTTATTTAACCCCTTTGTTAGGGACATTCTAAGAGAAAAGAGAAGAGGCAAAAAGAAAGACAAGTGACATTTATTAAACGTCTGTATTTGCCAATTACATGGTTAAGAGCTTTTCATATATTTTCACATCCAGTCCTTTGTGCCCATGTACCAGGAATTATTAATACTTTTACAGATAAGGAAAAAGATTTAAAGATGAAATACCTTGTCTACCATCACTGTATGCATCAATCCAGGAACTCTGAGTAACAGACACCAAGACACATCTATATATGCAAGGGTTTTACTAGCAAAAATGTCTGTATAGAGAACTTAAAGAAAAGTCAGGGAATACCAATGGACCAAATAAATAAATAATGTCCAACCGTGAATCAAGAAGCAAGGGGACAAAGTATGGGTGGAAATCTCCTGGAATGCAATGTAGACTAAGGAAGTTTCAGGGCATTTTAGTGCCAAAGTCAACCTCTGGAGCATCCCACATCTTCAGAAAAGGATCCTGCTTTAATATCACTTCTGCACTCAGTGACTGGCTAAGAGCAGCCCCTTGTATCCTGGCTGCAGTGCAAATGCAAGGATGGATTTCAGAACTCAGCAGCCTGTAATCCTCAGTCAGTTACATTCCCTGTGACTGCTGGTCTTTGAGGCATATTTTCATAGCCACTGCATCCTAGTAGTAAGTTGTTGTTGTTTTTTTTTTTTTGAGACAGGATCTCACGAAGTCTCTAAGTTGCCGGTGCTGGGCTCAAACTTGCTATCCTTCTGATTCAGCTTACTAGAGTGTTGGGATTGCAGTCATGTGCCGTCATGCCCAACTGCGAGTGAGATTTTAACCCTCATTTCCCTCAACTGTTCTTTCTGCTCCTTCTCTTTCATTGTCTCCTTCAGTTTCAGAAGAGTTCACAAAACTGCTCTACAGTGTCTTTCCCAGTACAATTAAGAGCCTTTGGCTCAGTATGTAACAGTTTCAGGCTATTCACTTGATAGTGTAAAATGGTTTCTTTCCATTTAGTCATCTCTGAAATACTTTTAATGTATCATGCAGCTCATTTGCATTTACAGTGCAATGCAAAGTGACTTGGAGGTTTGCTAGTGAGGTCATTGGCCTAAGGTGTTTGAAGAGTGTCCCTTTAGTTAGAAGAATATTTCTTCATGAGCTGAAAGGGACTCTGCAGCTCTTTGTTCAGTGATAATAACCATTCCCACCACTGGCTGAACTGATGATCCAAGGCCCTGGACACTACCAGCCTCAGAACCGCAGTCCTTCACAATAGGACTGTATAATTTTCAGACTGTGGTCACAAAGAAAACAAAGCAAAGGCTCTTACTCAGTTTTGACTGGAGGTAAATGGCCTTGGGTAGAAAGAGCGCAACGTCATAGAATTGGGCAAAAGATAATAACATGAAGATCAGGTCACACAAATTTTTCAGGAAACAAGGTTCAGAAAGGTCTACTGACTTACTCAAGGACACGTTACCACTGCTTTGCAGCCTAACAAAACACCTAAAATCCTAGTGACTTACATGAACTATTTTATTGTATCTAGTGAATTGGGGAGTCAAAAAATTCTGTTAGGGCTCAACTGGAGCTTTCTTCTCCTTATGGTGTTGCTGGAAGTCACACTCAGCTGGCAGGTAAGCTTGTCTAGTGAGTGTAGGCTAGCTTTACTCACATGCCTGGCACATGGGTAGCCGGAAGTCTAGGTCAACTGAGCCAGTGTATCTACTTGGTAGTTTAGAGGAAACACATTTCCTAAGGTGTGCCTTTGTTCTCCAAGCAAGAGCATCCCAAGAAAACTAGGTAGAGCTTCATGTCTATTTCTGACATATCCTTGTAAGACATGCATCACCATTTCAACTGCATTTGTGACTTATAAGTCATAAGGCCAGCCCAGATTTAGGAGAGGAGAGTTAGACCTCAGGCAAAGTCATATTGTGCTGAAGCATGTGGACAGTGAACATTGTGGTGGTCATTTTTGGAACACTCAATTTGCCAAAGTGTTTTTGCAATAGAACCAGAATAATGCAGTGTAATTATTTTATATCACGAGCATAAAAAGTATTTTCTAGAGGTTCGCAAAGAGGACCTTTTTCTAGCTTTTGGCATTAAACAATTTTATAACTACATTGTTAGTAGTGGAACATATGTATTACTTGAGAAAATTTCACTAAAAGCCACTGTAATATAAATTTCTCAGTTTTCTATTGTGTTCATGAAAATCACAAAAGTAACTGATTTCTAAATACATTTAGTAACTGCAGCATGAAAATGTGGGGAAAGTGTGCCATGTCTGCTTCAGATAACAGTGATATATCTGAATCCTCAGTCCCTTTGTGGTAACTTTGGTAGCATCTGTTATCTAAGTACCTCGGGTTGGAAGACACTGCTCTAAACCAGCTGTCTTCCTATTTAAAGCCATATATATTTACACTCAACAATGCCAGTGACAGAGGAATTCCATCCATTGCCTGTCTAAAATATGAGTAAAGTTGGATGTTAGATTGCTCTCAGGATGTTTAAGAGATGTAATAGTATTTGCCATGTATTTTAGGAAAAAATAAAACCACGGAGTAGGAAGGTCTGGGTATGCTCTTAAAGTAGTGTTCAAAGCCCTTAGGTAGTTTCAGGGGAATTCATGAGGTTAAGTCAATTGCCATAATAACACTGGTTTCTTTCTTCATTCTCACATATAAACAGTGACGTTTTTCAAAGGGTAGACGACACCTAACAGCACTAAAGATTAGACACAGAAGCAGATATAGGGATCCTATTGCCTTCTATTAATCCAGTCACTAAATTGATTTCCAGAAATGTGTAATAATATCATTCTCAGTATTTTAAAATCTGGCAAATATAATTACTTTTCATTTAAAATGCTATTTTATTATTATGTAATGAGTTTTTAATATAACAAGTGAATATTTTAAAATTTTATCATTCTTATGATGTGATAATATTACTAGATATAACACACATAAACAAAAATTCTGAGAGGGAGGGTCCTCAATAATTTTTAAGAATGTATAGAAGTACCAAGTTCAAAGTTTGAGAACCACTATTGGATGGTACATCAGGGAACACTAAGTACTTTTGCAAACCAGTGACTGAGAAATGTCTCCATTTAGACAGAAGTAGTGACTTTAACTTTTCCAGTGCTGTTCAGCAGATTAGAAGCCATGTATCCAGGATGGAAATCTGTAGTTTCTGAAATCTGAAAGGCTTCTTCATTGAGAGTCAATATATAAAATAGATTAGCTTTGTAAGAAATAACTTATCTAAAATCAATACTATTCACTTAGTGGGAAGAGAGGCTTTCTAACTTCTAAGGCATATGTATCACATTAGCAATCACTTGACAATTTAACAACTAGAGATGTGAATATAATAATCTCTTTGGAACATTAAAGCTGACTGAACAGGTATTCACATTGGTGTTTTGGAACTAGTTTTCATACCACTGGTCTCCACATTTATAATATTAACCATTACAGACTACTTTGAAGCTAATTTGATGGAGTGGTGTATAAGTAAGCAAATCTTCAAAGTAGAGCATGGCAGATGCCCTGTAAAAAGGCAGATGGTAAAATTTTTGATTTTTCTAGCCATATGGCCTCTGTCCCTGCAACTCAGCTCAGCCTTTGAAGCATGAAAATAGCCATAGATAATGCAGAAGCGTATAGGTATGACTGTGTTCCGATAAAACTTCATTCACAACAGCAGGCCAGCTGTGTCTCAGATGCCACTTTTGCTCTAAAATAATGTAAAATCTCCACCTGCTGTGCTGTGATTTTACTCTCTTCCTGTATGCCTGCCTGGGAACAGTGACCCAGTCTACATTCATGATAGAAAATAGTAATTGTTGGGCATGTACAATATGCAAATGTCAGATATCTCATCTGCATTATCTCTAATGCTCATAACCATATTCACAAAGGTGGGTATTTTTTCCATTTTACAAATAGAGTATAATGAAGTTAAAAATGTGTCCAAAGTCATGGGCTAATAAGCTATATATATTGGATATGACTTTGCATCTTTCAACCAATTTATTCCAAAAGTCTAACATCTTATTTTCAAGATCACTATTGTGGAAATGCACTGGTTTACTTTTTTCTCTTTGTTTCTTCTTTTTAAACTGACTTGAAATATTTGTGTGTATTTATGAAGTATGGTGTGATAATTTGGTACATGGATGCAGTGTGTAAGGAAGATCAGGGTAATTCATATTTTTACCTCCTCAAATATTTATTGTTTCTACATGTTGGAAATCTTACAATGCTTCGCTTCCACTTATTTTAGATATCTCGTAAATTGTGTAGTTACTCTGCTGTGCTGTAAAACACCAGAATTTATTCCTGCCTAGTTACATTTTGGCACCTGTTATCTGGCTTCTCTCCGTGCCTCTACCACTCCTTTCCCTATCTCTACTGACTGCTATTCCACCTTCTCACTTGACTAAATGTCCATCGTATCAGGCCATGTCAAGTAAAAGTAATATGGTCTCCAGGATATTAAAGAGTCTCACTATTGTACAACTCTAGTAAGATACCCAATTTCTTGATCTTCATTGCAGCAAACTGTCCCAAGGACCATTTTAATGCAGATAGCCAAGCAAAGAGAGCTGAGAACTGCAGATTAAAGTGACCATACAATTAGACCTAGAATTGTTCTTTTGAAGCTACAAATATCTGAAGGTAGACTTGATGCTTCTCAGCTGCTTGTGAGCTGTTTTACTTCTAGAAATCAGATGTCTCCTTAAAAGTAATCATCCTTGATATTTACGTAGTTCTTTACAAAGTGTCTTCCTACATTCTGTCTTCTGATAGCCAGCATTTCTGAGTGTTAAACATGTGCCGGGCACCAGCGTCATATGCGTCAGCTCCTCAGCTTCTCCTCCACCACTGTGAGGCAGAGTGATTTTCTTCTCACTTTCCAACAAGAAACTGAGACTAGGAAAAATTAAATCTTTTCCCCAAGACCATCTAGATTATAGGTGATGGATTTGGGATTTGAAAGCAATTCTAAAGCTAATGTACTACATATTAGATTTTCAGTTACTCAAAGCCAGAGACTCTATTTGGTCTTTATTTGCTTGATTTATTCTATGCCCTCAAGACATCGACACTATGCTAACCCTATTTTTACAAAGAATATTAAATAAAATAAATCATTTAAATATTACTACCAAATGAATAGGATACTGAATTGAACACGGAGAATGACTACATACACATATTTTTAAAGGAAGAAAAAATTATATCTAGATTCTGAAGAAGATTCTAGAAGGTATTTATGGAATTATAGGTAAGGTTATGGTTTGTTTTTTCTTTTCTTCTTTTTGTCATCTCTGTATTGGGGTGGGGGGTACCAGGGATTGAACTCACATCCTTGAGCCTGCATGCACCATTGAGCTAAATCCCCGGCCCCCATCTTTGTATTTTTTATATTTCCTATTTTTAAATAAAATGACTACAAAATGTTTTAAATTATCAATAAAAAAGGAACAGTAATTGACAGAGTTCTTTCCCTGTGGTTAGCAGTTTCTGAGTATAATTCACAACCTCATTCCTTGAGGGAGTGATAATCTATTTAAAGAGGCAATGCCTGTGGTAGTAGAGAGGGAGCCTCAGGGCACACAGGAACAACCTAAAGTGGTCCACATCTACCAGGGAAGGGAGAAGAGATGGGAGGTTCCAGTCTTTTCTTAAGATGAGTGTAAAATGTCTTGCTAAATATATAGAGGAAGGAATCAGCTGGAAGTGCATCTAGGAAAGAAATAGAACATTTGTGGAAAGAGACCAGGTCTGCGGGGCTGGCTTGTGATGAAAGCAGATATTGTGGGTTTTTGACAAGATGAAGGTGTGATAATCCAGTACTTTTGGAAGTAGAGCAGAAGGATATATTCAAGACTCTGGATATTGGCAAAGTATGGTGTTTAGTTCCTGGTTGGATAGGGAGGAAGAGAGTTGTTTCACCTCCTATCTCCTCTCTATTTCTCTCTCTCTCTCTCTCTCTCTCTCTCTCTCTCTCTCTCTGGTAAATCCTACAGAGTTTCTAGGTGGATAGTCTTAATTATGGAGCCAGTCATATTATTTTCTTGCTCAAAGTTCTCCAGTGGTCCCCTACTTCCTCAATGAACACTATAACAGTATATCCTAAAATTTAGACACTATGGAAGATGCAAAGAAAGTAGTAGGAATATAAAGGAAAATAAAATATAGTTCCTCTTCTCTGAGAATGTATAATCTACTGGGCTAAAATCAACTGTACATGAAGGATGTAGAAAGATTCTGCTTTCAGTAATGAAGCTCCTGTTTGTTTTACATCATTCTCCCACTGAAAGCAACTATAAGCACTAGAAAAGAGACATCTGTTTGAAAGTCCTAAGGCAGTCAGACCCAAGAGTCAAGAAACTGGAGGAAGAGAAAGCCATGGAAGTGATTCAGAAGGTCACAGACAGATTTCCTGCCCAAGGCTGATTTCTGAAATAGCATGGATATGGAGGTTGGAAAGCCCCTCAGAAAAAAGCTAGAGAGAGAGAGAGAGAGAGAGAGAGAGAGAGAGAGAGAGAGAGAAAGAAAGAAAGAAAGAAACTAAGCACTGGTCTGGTTGCTTCCTAGGCCTGGGGAAAAACAAACAAAACAAAACAAAAAACAGAATTCAAATCAAGAGAGGGAGGATGCTTCAGAGAAGAGAAGCTGTTCAACATCCAAGGGGCTTATCCTCACATGACATTCACAGATTAGCAAACAGCAGCATGAGGGAAACTGAAGGAAAGCCTAGAGTCAAGAAATCATGGAGATAAACCAGGCGCTGGAGAGTCCCTCAAATATAACTGACATTGAGGACTGGCCAAGGAGGAGCAGCCTTTGTGACACTCAGCTTTCTGTTAGAGCACTGTAAAAACTAAACCCAAAGACCAAAGGAATCAGAAATACATTGGACTTTTTATTAAAGGCTTCTGAAGAAATCAAGCCTCTGTATAGCTTAATCCTGACTGAATTTAGAGACACCCTCACCACCAAAAACAACTGCTTGCTAAAAGCCAAAGCCTCATCTAAAATCTTTATAATTTTTCTTACATGGTATTTATTTAATCGAAAATTAACAAGAAACCAAACCAAGAATCAGGTAATGTAGATAATGAAAGCAGACCCTTAGGTAGTCTAGATTCTGTAGTCATCAGGAACAGACTTCATACCAGTTTTTTAAAAGTAATACATGTTTACAATACATAATATTTACATTCCTTGTGTAGAGTTGGTACATGTACATAACATATCTTAATTCATTTTTTCATCCCCTTCTTTCCCTCCTCTCCTTCCATCTCTTGATTCCTTCCCCTTTGAGAAACATCTATCTCCTTACTTCCTATTATGTTTTATGTTGCTCCTTATTTATAATTTGGGTTTCTCATTATAAGAGAAGTCATGTGATATTTAAGTTTCTGTGTCTGGCTTATTTCACTTAATATTAAAGTCTCAAGGTGCATCCGTTTTCCTACAGATAACTCAAGTTCCTCTTTCTTTATGGCACAGTAGTACTCCATTGTATATAAATACCTCATTTTCTTTAACCAGTCATCTGTTGATGGGCATACAGGCTTAACATATTTAAAACATCAGATGTAGTACTTTCGAAGAACTGGGATTTCAATTGATGTTTGAAGAATGCTTTGGGTTCCACTATTAGAAGTGCCTTGTTCTAGCAAAGGCTGGGTCACAGGGATAAAGAACAAAGGGAGAATGATGTGCATGATCACAGGGCAGGGTGGAACAGGGACACAGGTTCAGGAAGAGATGAGGAGCTGGCCTCTGTCAACAGTAGAAAGCTAGTGTCAAGTTGTGTTGATTAAATCTCCCCAACTAATCAGGTTGAGATCAAATACAGGAGAGAAAACTCACTTCTATTTATCTGTTTAGGATTTCTTCAGTAAATCGGACCCATTTCTGGAAATTTTTCGCATGAACGATGATGCAACTCAGCAGCTTGTGCACCGAACTGAGGTAAGAAGAGTCATATTAGCTAGTCCTGTGATTATAAATTGACCTGTTTTGAGAAACACTTTGTATTTTTCAAAACTTCATTCATTCATTTATTCATTCTGTACTGGGGAATGAACTCAGGGACTTCATACTGAGCTATATCCCCAGACATTTAAAAAAATCATTTTTAAAAATTTTTAGATAGTTTCTTACTAAATTGTCCAGGCTGGGCTCAAAGTTATGATCTTCTCACTTCAGCCTCCCAGAGTGGTAGGATTACTGGTGTGTGCCACCACACCTAGCTTCCCACTTTGTATTTCTTAACATCCATAGATATGTATTGAGATCTAGAGTCTTCATTGTCCTCAAGATAATTGTCTGCCTTTTCAGAATATTTTTAATTTTCAATTTATGTGTTGGAAGAGAAGACCCCCTCTAACTCCAAATGTACATTGTTAACCTTCAAAACAGATGGCCAGCAACTTATTAATGATAACAATAGGAACACTAGATAATGTATAATGGTATTAAGATAACATTGAAGCATTTTACTAAATCACCTAGCTACATTATTTTATTTACTTCCCACAATAATCTTGCAATAGGATTATTATTATCCCCATCCTTACAACAGAAGAATCTTTACAGAAGTTATTTCCAAGGTCTCTTCCACAGTTAGCAAAGTGTGGGGCTAAGGTTTGCAGTGAGGTTGTTCGACCCAAAGATTCCCTGTAATGTTGGAGCCAGTCTGCTCCCCAGGGAGAGTATATCCACTGGACTGATGCCACGTCTATTGAGCCACCCCATTACAATTGCCATTTGAGATGCCTTCCCTCTCACCCTTTCTTGTCTTTCTATGGCTGACCCCAAACCTTGCATCTTCTCATCCTAATCCCTGCTACCTACTTTCTCATATACACATTTGGCAACCAACCCCAATCTTCACTTTTTTTATTTTACTTACAAGCCAGTCCAAGAGGAATTTTTGTAATGCACTAATAAGAAGGAAATGGATTCACTGTGCTGAGTCATTTGGAGCTGAGAGAAGAGCATTTTTTGTATGTATATTGCAGAGGTGAAGGAAGGAGAGACTCCCATGATTGTAAGGGGATGATAGTGTAAATCCAATTCTGTTTTCATAAAGCAACAGAGCCACTGTTAGGGAAAGTTTTCCTGACTTCCCTAAGGAAGACCAGAATTAAATAGTCTTGGGTGGACTAGTTGTGTATATCATCTGGCATACAATTGGCATCTAAATAAAACAAGTTTAGGGCCTGGAATTTAGCCCAGTGGTTCTGCCACCTACCTTGCAAGCACAAGGACCTGAGTTCGATCCCTGGAACCAAAAAAGCAAAACAAATAAATAAAACATGTTTAATAAACTGAATGAATGAATGGAATTGAGTACAGATAGTACATCAACTACATTGCAATTCTCTAGAACTTAATCCATAAGGAATAGACTGAAATGCTACTACCATAGTTACCTTGGATGGTTCCCATATCATCACCACTGAATATAGTCTCTTTTATACATAAAGATTCTTTTAGTCCAATAAACTTTTAGGAGAAGTAACTAAATCTTGGGAAGAAGCTTCAGTACTATTCATTCATACTTTTGGTTCACTCAGTGAGCAGCGGCTTTAACTGGAAAGAAAGGCTATCAGTAATATATTTTTGGACTTCTCTCACAAGATATTTTTCTTTGCTCCTGATAGCACAGCTTTTATTATTAGTGTTGGTAAATTTTCTTATTCCCAAAAGTCTCTAGAACTTTGACCCTTACCCCAATGCCAAGAGGTTCCTAGAGTTTCATAACAGATGTTGATTGTGATGTTTTCCAGTCAATCAAGCAACATAACATTGGTTTCTCAGTAGACACAAAATAATTCTCCTGGGGAAAGCACAAGCAGGAGCAGATGAACATTCACAAACACATAGTTTAAATTTCAGAAGAAATTAATAGTTGAAATTTTATTCTCCCATTGAGTTTTTCAAAACTCTTGCCAAAACACATCTTTATTTCTTAGCATTTTCATTAAAAGGTGAGAAATTAAAATTAACACAAACACTTTTATCTACTCTTCCTTCTCACTATCACTTTGATCATCCTTGGGGTATCAGAAGACAAGATAGAGTCACAGAGAAACATTATTTCTCTATTTTAACATATTAAATAAATTTAATAATGTATCCATCATTTTATCAGCATCATGGCTACATTAATAAATTCAGTAGAGAGGGAATTGCTCGTAAAATCATGTGTCACAGTTCACATTTGTGACACAACACAGAGGATGAGAGATTACTGGGAGTCATTATCCAATTCAAACTCCGAGAAGGCTCAGAGGGCAATTAACTGAAACCCCTCAGCATGAGAGTCTCATAAAGGCAGCCCAAACTGAAGCTTCTGTGGCTTTTTATTGATAGAACCAAGAAGCAAGGATACATGACAAAAGAAGGATGTCTGTGCAGCAATTCATGTAGGAGACAGAGAAAGTACAGGGGAAGATCAGGGTGGTCTGTTACATGATTGACCTTAGGGCCAATCTAAGTGATAAATTGGGACATGGAAAGGAGAGGGCCAGAGCATTCATTCCTTAAGGCAGTGTGTTTTAATACTACTTGGATTCATGGCCCTGTAGAGTTATCTTTTAATCACAACCATGCATTCTGGGAGGTTTTGGGAACATGGCTCCAAAAGTACCTTATCTCTGAATATCCATTTCATACATACCGCTGGCCAATAGCACCACAACTATGTTATTTGGATAGAGAATTGTTTTAAACACTAAGAAAAGTCAATATGACAGAATTCCCCTGGGCCAGGGAGTTAGCTCAGTGGTTCTACTGCCTACCTTGTGAGCACAAGGTCCTGAGTTCGATGCCTGGTACCAACCACCTCCCCCGAAAAAAGGACAGAATTCTATTTAATTTTGTCTATATGTCCCCAGAACAGTGGTCCTCAAACTTTATGCATCCTAATCACCCAGGGGACCCATCTACAAAGAGTTGGTCAATAATACTGGTAGAGCCCAATAATTTGTATTGTTAAAATGTTACCAGGTGATGTAGCACCTTCTGGTCCAGGAACCATACTTTGGGAATCCCTGCCCCAAGCTTTACAGTACAATGCTAGTTAGGTATAGAGAATCCACTTACACATACTGAACAAAACTGTGTTATTTGAACAAGGATGATGGCAAGACAAAGAATGCTCATATGGGTTCTCGGACAGGATTTAGCCAAGGTCATGATTAATAAACTGCAGCTTTTAGAAGGGTGTTTCTATGCTGTACACTTACTTCACAATCTGAAGAACTGCCCAGTTGTGTCTTTCCAGAATGTTCTATGAGATGAGGGTTACCTAGTGTAAGAATGCTCCTAGGATTTTTCTTCTAGAAACTTCTACTTAGAATCCTATATGACTCAAGGTCACAGATTACCAAATCATCCTGTTCTTTAGCAGCAGAAGTGTCCTGCCTCGCCCTCCATCCTTGCCTCTGCTGACCCCAAGGAAAGGGAATTTATGGCATCAGACTGACATTTCTACAGAGCTGGGCTGGGGATCTTTTTTCAATAAGGGCCACAGGCCTCCTCACCTCTTAAATTCCAGTCCTTTTGGTATTAAAGGGATCATCTTCAGTGTTCAAAGGCCGGACAGTGTTGAAGTCATTATTCATGAAGCAGACAGACCCAGGAGTTCTACCCATAATAACCTGCTTAGTGGGTATCCTTAAAAGCTTTGCCCCTCTAAGTTTTCATTAGGGAACCTGTTCCCAGCAAATGTCCTTTTCATAAGCATCACAATAGTTTCTCAAACATTTTTCATATTAAAATGTGAAAATGTCAAACATCCCCCTCTTCAGCACTCCTCTCTTTCTTTTCCCAGGTTGTGATGAATAACTTAAGCCCAGCCTGGAAATCATTCAAAGTATCTGTAAATTCTCTATGCAGTGGAGATCCAGATCGCCGGCTGAAGGTCAGAAATCTATATGCAAAACAAAGTTATTTTTAAAATATATTTAATATTTCTCTTTCTCCTCAAGAATTTTGGGAAACCCAAAACTTTTGGTAGCATTTATTCAGCCTCGCATCTTTTAGCATCTTCATGAAGAGCCGCTGAGGCTCATGCAACAGCCTGAAATAAATCCTAACCGTGTTATGTCACAAAACAGTCTATCACTTCTCAGAAACAAAACTGTGGCAATAACTTCAGGGATAATTGTGAATTATTAGAAATGAAATATTTCTGTATCAATTATCTGTTGTTGCATAACATACCACCCCAACATTTAGTAGCTTAAAGCAACAATCATTTGTTTAGCTTGTGATTCTGTGCATCTAAGTAGTCCTTAGGTAGGTCTTATGTAGACTCCTGCAGGCACAGATGGTCAGCTCCCTCATGAGCGAGTGGCTCTTCTAGGGTTGGCTGTCACCTAGAAGTATTGAGATGGTTGGGCCATATGGCTCTCAGATATTCCAAATTCAAGGGTGAGGACATAGATTCCACCTCTTGATGTCAGGAGCTACAAAGCATTGTGTGACCATTTTTTTTTACTATCCTACGAATGCTTTAAAATACTGTGAGTATATAGAAGTTGGAAGAAAACGAGCATATGGAGTGTTGGAAATCACCAAAGAAAGACAACTGGTGGCATGTTAGAAGCAGATGCCAGGAGATGTTCCCTTTGATCTATGGTCCGGCCTTCACTCTGACTTGTAAACCTGGAGGTTCCATGTTACTAATACCTTAGAGTTGGTCCCATGAATTTAGTATGATTAAGTAACTCACTGGAGACCAGTGTCTCTAAACTGAAAGGCCAATTGATGGATATTCAGTGAGAAATGTGCCTGTCAAGCAGACTCAGCAACTACGTCAGCTTCACTGGGACTTTCGGTTGTGGGTGAATAATAGGGGAGAGAAATGTCAGAAGGTGACTGTTACCGCCTGACAGCAGCACCAGGGATGCTAGATCATGGAGAAGTCAGTGGCTGCAGATGTTGAAAGTTGGGGGCATCCACTGCCACTGTGAGAATAATGGTTCATCTGGCAGAGTGAACACTTACATTGACCATTCAGGGCATTCATGCCCTTAAGTGTTACATGGCCTCTTATGATGCTTGCCTTTGTAACTTTACATTTCCCTCACTCCTTTCACCCTCAGGCCTGGTTTTGATGATAAAATTCCTTTGATTTTTCAATGTTGTCAGTCCATCTGGTTTGTTTGACCTACCTCTTTAAGGTAACTTTGTATATCTTTGCTTGCACCCATACCCATTCTGCGTGGACTTTGTGATTGAGCTCTCAGTGGTTGAGGTCACACAAGGTTACCTCTTCCAAAGTTTAATAAGCTTTGTGTGAGAACATTACTTTGTGTAAGTACTGAGTCTAGGCCTCAAACAAGCCTTGCAATTTCTATGTTTCCTTCTTGGACCCTAAGGTCACTATGTGTATTCATTCTGGGTGGACTTTGTGCCGGAATTTTCCGGCTTACTTCCATGTTCTTAAGCACCAAGTCAGAGACACTGAGAGCCAAGGTATTTCAAGTCTCAGCCCCTACTTAAAACTCTTTTGTGCCAAAATCAGGATTTCTGGTTGTTTAGACATTCAGGCAGAAGCACCTATGTAAGACAGCCAAGAACTATTGCTTCAGGATTGGTATGGCCATTGTCACCTGGACTCTGAGCAGTACTATCCCATTCCCAGGGAGAAAATGGCCCTGTTTGACCAGAAGTAAAGTAATGCTTCCTTTAGCCATAGATCAGTTTTGTCATAGGGCATTATTACATGGATAAAAGAAGGTTTTCTGTAATCAAATGAATAAGCATGCAGAAAAGGAGTACTGTTTTACCCTTTGAGTGCTCTGCAGTCTCTGTAGGAACAAGTGACAGTAAAGTGAATGGATCAATAGATGGATCCTGTGTTGAAAAATTTAAAAAGTGAAGGCTCTGGGTTCAATCATCAGTAACAAAACAAAACACTGTAAAATTCTGTTAAGGCCTTCATCTCCAGAATGAAGTGGTACCATCCTGGTAGGCAGCAGCTCTGTCCATATGGGTGTTATTCTTCCCCAATGTCCCCATGCCCAAAAATTAGAAAGTTTTTAAAGCCCCATCATCCCAAATAAGGCTTCACATTTTTCATTCTCATGTATCCAAGATCCCCATAAAAACCAAGTTTAATAAGTAACTCACTTTTGGGGATTTTATTTATTTATTTCCCGGGGTAAAATCATAGAAATATTTAAGTAACTCTTTTTAAAATTAATGTTGAACTTATTTATTATGGAAACGTTCAAACATGAGTAAAGGTGGAAGGATGGCATGATACTCCTAGACCCATCACATGGCTTCAGTACTTATGAATCATGACCAACTTCACATCACTCACTCTCCAGGGACCCATTTCCCTTGTCCTCCTTCCCACTGCCGGGTCATTCTGCACAAGTCCAGGCTAAGCGGATGTATCCACTAATCACAGCACAATGCCAGGCCCCACGATGCTTTCAGGAGCATACAAACATGGTTTACACGATCCTGAAGTCAAAAAGGAAAAAATTATCTTTTAAGATTGAATGAAGTGTTTTACATTTTTTCTTATATCAGAAAACAATGACATTTTTAGGGCCCATGAAAATCTCTTATGGTAGAAGAAACCCAAGAAGGAAATCATATGTGGGGCCAACAGATGTAGTAATGTAGCCATGTCTCACACATAGTATCATCTCATCTGAAAAGATTTTAACATGTGTTGCTAAGGGATAAAGAGTCTTTATATAAACATAACCACAAAACTGTTATCATACCTAAGCATATGCATCCTTGATGGCATCAAATATTTTGCCATTATTCATATCCACTTGATTTTCTCCTTTATCGGCAATTGTTTTATGCTTGTTTGTTTTACTTTTTCTTTTGCTGTTTTTATTTTATCAGTACACATTTGCAGTATATCATGAATACTTTCATTGTGGGTAGTTGCTACATGTACATGACACATATCATTTCTTTTACATCCCTTTCCTCCATCTCCCTTCATCTTTTGGTGCCCTTTCCATTTGCCAAAAATCTGTTTGCATATTTCTTATTCCATATCTTTTATTTTGCTCTTCAATTTATTTCTACCTTGAGTTTTTCATATAAGAGAAACCATATGATTTTTAAGCTTGTGTGTCTGACTTATTTCTCTTAACGTTATGGATCAGAATGTAAATAAGGTACTAGGATTACATTTGAATGAGTTGTCTCAAGTTTCTTTCATTGTTGATTTCCTCTCCCTCTTTTTTCCTTAATAATATAGTAATTTAAAAAATAGATTGTTTCATCTTGTAGCATCATTCTCTTTCCTTTATGTGAGTAGTTTGGACTTAATTAGATGTAAGGTCTGTTTTCAGGCAAGAATGTCCTTAGAATTATTAAGAATTGGTGTAATTTTTATATGAGTGTTTCAACATACTTTATTTAATATTATTATTTTGAAATATTTGACTGTTATGGCTTGTATCTAGATGTCCCCTACAAAACCTCATGAGTGCATAGGTGGGGCTTTTCCAGGTAGATGGATCTAGAGTGTGATGATGCTGGAATTGATTCATAATGTGATGCTAGTATTAAGGCTGCCCCATCCTGGGTATGACAAAATATAAGGAATAGAAAGATGGTCATTGTTGGTTGGTTGCTAGCTGCTTGCTGCCTTTCTGCCTTTTGCCTTATGCCTACCATGTTTCTTATCTTTGATGCCCCTCTGCCTTTCCACCCTGCCTTGGAGCTAGCCAACTATGAACTGAAACGTCTACAAACAGTGACGTAAATAAACTGCTCCTCCTTTAACTTTAGGTGTTGGGTATTTTGTCTCAGCAACAAGTACAGAAACTAAGACACTGACCAATGAAAATTCCTTCAAATTGGCCCTTGAGTTCTTTTGACATACACTAGTGTTTAATAGTTTCCTTGCTTTCTGGAATGATCTTTTACAATTCCTTAATTTTGAAATTCATTTCCTCCAAAATATTTATATGGAGAGTGAGTTATGTTTTAATGTCTCTTGAAATCATTCCTCCTTGTAGTTAAAACTCTGACTATCCAATTGTCAGATTTTTTTCATTTTTTCAGATTTTCAAAAGTTTTCTTCAAATTCAATTTTTTATAATTATATAAAATGTTTATGTGGTTCCAAAGATAAAATTGCAAAACAAAGTATATTTAGAAAAGTTAGCTTTCATTCCTGTTTCTCCCACCTTTTGCCAATTTTTTATAAGTAGTCATTTTTAATATGATTTTATACATGTAGAGCTGGCTCCTTCCACTTCTGGATTCCTTGTCTGGGGGAGTTTTCCTGGATGTTTTTCCTGTTTGTTACTTCCATTTCACTTTATAAACAACTTATTTAATTTATTTATATTTTGTATTGAATTTATGTTGAGATTGCTTTAAATTCATTAATTGAACAGAATTTTTTCTTTTTAATGCTCTTTTACTACCCTGGAACATGGCACATCTTTCCATTCATTCAAATCTCCTTTTGTGTTTTCAAGAGCACTTAATGGTTTTCTCTTGCAAATTTGGAACATTTAAAGTCTATGCCCAGTTATCTTCTTCTTTGCTAATTTATTTATTTTGCTACTATAAATGTAGTCCTCCATTACACCTTCTATATTTATAAAGGCCCTAAAATTTTGTTTTCTTAAAATGGTATCTCATTAAGTTCTTCTATGGTTTGTTTATAGTAATTTTTCTATTAATCTTGAGGGCTTTCCAAATATATCATCTGAAAAAAAGGATAAACTTTCCCCTTACTTATGTCCTATGGCTCTAGTTATTTCTCTTCTTTTACTGAATGGATGAATACACCCAACACAGTGTTAAGTGGTAGTAGATATAGGAAGCATCTGTTTTTTATTCACCAGTGTTGGAGAAAATTCTATAGTGACAGATTAGTTTTTAAAGTAACTGACAGTGTCAGAAGCTAAGTGCTTTCTC